ACCCAAAATTTCCCCCCAAATTGCCCAAATTTGCCCCAAAATTGCCCCCAAATCCCCCTCAAAATCCCCCCAAACCCCCAAAACGCCCCTTTTTCCCCCAATTTGCCCCAAATCCCCCATTTTTGCCCCATTTCTCACCCTGTCTGTGCGCAGTTTCCCATCCCTCAGGCGGCCCAGCAGCGCCCTGCCGTGTTCCGTCACCGCCGCCACCTGCTCACATTTTGGGCTCAATTCTGCCCTTTTTGGGCAAATTTGGGCGCGTTTCATCATTTTGGGGCATTTTGGGGATTCCCTTTAGGACCCCAAGGGCCGATTTGGGGCATTTTTTGGGGTAAATTTGGACGATTTTAGGGCAAATTTAGGGCCGTTTTGGGGGCAAATTTGGGGGATTTTGGGGCATTCCTGTGAGGTTTTGTGGGATTCTGATGGTGGATTTGGGGTCATTTTAAGGGATTTTGGGTCATTTTCAGGGCGTTGCAGGGCTCCTCAGGGGCTCCAGGATGGATCTGGGGACAATTTGGGGTGAATTTGGGTGATTTTGGGTCATTTTGGGAGCAAATTTGGGGCATTTGCTGGAACTCCTGTGGGACTTCGAAGGCAGATTTGGGGCATTTTTGGGGCTGTTTTGGGGGCAATTTGGGGGATTTTGGGTCATTTTGAGGAACACAGAGGGGTCCTGAAGCGCTCCATGATGGATCTGGGGACAATTTTGGGGTGAATTTGGGCGATTTTGGGTCAAATTTGGGGCATTTTCTGGAGCTCCTGTGAGACTGACAGCGCATTTGAGACCATTTTGGGGCGATTTAAAAGGATTTTGGGTCATTTTGGGGGCATTCCAAGGATCCTGAAGGGCAGCGGGGTGGACCTGGGGAGACATTTTTGGTCTCAATTTGGGCAATTTTGGGCAAATTTGGGCCATTTTGGGTCATTTCTGTGAGTTTCCGTGGGATTCTGACAGCGGATTCGTGGCGATTTGGGGGCAATTTTAAGCGTTTTTGGGTCATTTTGAGATCATGAGGCGAATCCCGAAGGGCTCCAGGGTGGATGCGGGGAGGATTTTGGGCTCAATTTGGGCGATTTGGGGCAAATTAGGGCCCATTTCGGGGCTCTCTGGGGTTTCCGGACTCCTAAGGGCCGCACTGGGGCAATTTTGGGGCGATTTTAAGCGGTTTCGGGTCATTTTAAAGGACGCAGAGGGGCTCCGCCGTGGATGCGGGGCGGTTCGGGACCGATTTTGGGGTAAATTCGGCGGATTTCGGGGCCCACCTCCTCTCGTAGCGCCTTCAACAGCGTCACCGCCTCCGCCACCGCCGCCATTTTTGCGCCGCACGCCGACCGGAACCGGAATACGACAGCTCAGCCAATCAGAACGCGGCAAGGAGAGGCTCAGCCAATAGGAGCGCGCACAGCGCAACGCTGGGGCCGCCTCTCGGCGAGGATTGGCAGAGAGAAAGGAAGAGGAGGTCCTGGGCGTGATAGACTCGCTGTTCAACCAATAGGAGTGCGCATAGCGCAGCGCTGTGCCGCCCCTCCGCCATGATTGGTAGAGAGAAAGGAAGAGGCGGTGCTTGGAGTGATGGACCCGCTGCTCAATCAATAGGAGCGCGCACAGCGCAGCGCTGGGCCCGCCCCCCGGCGTTGATTGGTAGAATGAGGCGGTGCTGGGAGTGATGGACTCGCGGCTCATCCAATGGGAGCGTAGCACAGCGCCACGACCCGCAGTGACCTCTGGGAAAACCCCAAATCGCCCCGAAATGACCCAAAATGTCCCAAATCCGCCCCGATTCTCCCCCGAGCGCCGCGATTCCCCAAATCTCGCGATATCCTGCCGGAAATCCCCCATAAACACCAACACGCCCCCGAATGCCCCCATTTTTTCCCCAAATGCCCCGAATTTACCCCAAATTTCCACCCCAAATCCTTTTTTTTCCCAAAATCCCCCGAATTCACCCCAAAATTCCACTTTTTTTTTCTCTCCTCCGCCTTTATTCCCCCCTTTGGGGTCTCTATGGTAC